GCTTTGGAGGGTGGCTGAAGCTGGGTGTTGGTGGTGGGATGCTCTGGATGGGCAACATACAGCAGTGAATACAGGGAAGGGCTGAAACGGGTCTGATTTGCTTTTTTAAACAAAAGCAAAGAGGTCTGCACTGTCAAAGGCCTTTCTCTGGCTGGGGAACCAAAGCAGACAACGTCTTGCCTTTCATCGGCACGGCCAACCAGCAGCCCCTAGAGTCAGTCGGACTGACTGATCCTAGATGGGAGACAGCCAGGGACCCAAGAAGGACAGCAGCCATGGCGGGCCAGCCTGAGTGTACAGTAAACAGCTCTGAGATGGAGACAGCTTCAGACAGATGGCTGGGGATATCCATAGGCTATCGAGTTCTCATTTTGGTCTGGATCAGCTTTATTCAGTCTACACTAAGGCATCTATTTCTACCTGTTTTTCTAAAGGCATGCAAGCCACCAGTGCATCCCTCTGCCTGGTTTATGGGTGCTGGGACCGTACGTGCAGCCTTCCTCTGCTGCGATAACATTCGTCCTTCTCCCACAGGCTCTCGGGGTAGGATTGTTTTCATTAGTTTTCTGCTAATACCTGGCACTATAGAGAAATACAGACTTGCTGTCACAGTCTCAGAGCCTGAACCAACACCACATGAGCGAAGGATGGAAAAAAGCAACGTGAATCAGAGTGACTGCAGAGTTCAACATGCCCATCACTTCATTTTCAAGGATAGCTTTGTTATTGCAAAAACATGCGTAAAGAATCATACAGCAGCTCAGTAATGCTGCTGTCACAGCAAATTCATTTTCTGCAGAAGAGAGGAAGAGAACAGCAGAGTTATACACACTTGCAACCAAATCTGCCCCTGGTTATCACTTCTGCCTTAGCAAGAGCTGACATTCTGCCTGCTAAGAATACTATCAGGACAACGACATGGAGAATATTGCTGTTGAACAGCCTATTTTCAGACAGTTTCATGGGGAGGACATGTTATAAACAATGTGTTGGGGCTTTGACAGAATTAAATACAAAGAACCTGAACTTTCCATTAACACCAATCTTAAGAGTAAAATTCCTGAGCACCAGCTCCCTGACATGGATGCTGGCCAGGCAGTCCTCCCGCTTCCCACTGAGTCCACAGCTCCTTCACCACTACCTGCATCCCTGCGCATGGCCAAAGAGCCCTGCAAAGCCATCAATGCCAGCAGCTTCCAGCTCTGGCTAAGGGGATATGGCATCATTGTCCTAACCCAAACCTGAATTCACATCGACGATAATAGAGTTTGGAGCTTCGCTAGATAATACTCAAATTGTTCTTCATTGTCAGATCAAAAGGTCTTCAAAGACTAAGATACCAGCATTTCTGCCCATTTGATGAAGGGCTGGGAAGTACACACTGCTGTTTTGCAGGCACTAAGAGCTACACAACCATTGCATTAGCAGCTAGAACTTTTGATACCCAAGAATGATAAGTATTTGGAAAAGCAGATTACTTTTAAAATTAAAATACTTTTTAGGAGAAAAAAAAAGACCCTAAACAAAAACCCAACATGAAAACCAAATACAACCCCCCACGCGCCCGTTTTCCACAGGTCAAAGTCAAATGATTACTGTCCCAGTGCAGCGAAGCCCAAATGACTCACCCGACTGAACCCGGACAGGGTACTAGGAGATAGAATTGGTTTACCTTATCTGTGCCCATTTCCTAACTCGGAAAGAATGAGAAGCCCACGACAAGTGAATTCAGCATTATTCATAAATTGTATCAGGACACAGCTCTATGTTATGGTAAACTCTACAGCACCAAAATTTCATGGAGATTATTGCAAGGAGTGCATCTACTCTGAGAGAAGTGGGTTCAGCCTCAGGTTTTAAGTGAAGCGATGGATAATACCCTCCCGGGAACATCTCCCTCATTCTAGAGAACATGGTGAGATTTCCTCTCGGTATTCGAGAGTGTGTATGGAGATCTGTGTTCATACCATAAGGCATTCAGAGGAGAAAAAAACCACTCTCTGTATCCTGGTGACAGCCTCTGTATGTTTTCTAAAGCATCATTTTAATAAAAAGGTCAGGTCTATCATATGGCATACAATTCTGCAGTGTTTAAATACATGTTCTTAAACAGGCAAGGAAATAGAAGTGTTGCCTCCTTAGTCCTCTTTGAACACACATTATAATGACAAGGCATCTCACCAGTCTCCTGTTATAAAATTATCATTTACATATAGAATCTGTTTATTCATTTAATTATGTCTTTAAAATCTGGATTTAACCAGCCAGGTAAAAATCACTTGTTTACTGTATAAAATCCCAGTGGAATTTCACCTGAGGACTGAGGGTTGAATTCTTCAGACCCTCTCTGCTTTAATTTGTATTTTATAGTACTAATTTCACCGAAACTTGAGTGAAGCTAAGCAAATCAGATGCTTGCAAGAAATTAGTTATCCAAACTTCGTGATTCACATCTTTTTAACCGTGTTTGTTTAATTACTGAGAATGATAGTTTCTGTTGGAGAACAAAGCAAGTAAAATAAAAGCGAGTCAAAAGATGGAACATTTCAGAAAATTTAGTAAAAGTTACCAAAACTAAGTATATGATCTGATTTTAGCAAAAGACTCAAGAAATCATTATACAAATTCATTTATGATTACATTCTACTTGTCTTTAATTTCCACTGTTCAACATTAACATTAAACATCGTAAATGTAAGCAATATTTATATAAAATTAAATAACAATATTGGAAAAATAAATACACTTTTACATAAATACATAAATCCATACTGCTGAAAAGTTTCAGCTAATACTATACTCTTGTTTCAAAAGTGACCAAAAAAATATGGTAGTGACACTCCATCCCAAACAGATGAAGTATGTACAGCTACAGAATGATGTTTGCAACCGATGACAGAGCTAAAGCAAATCCACGTGATACCACACTAAAGGAAAAAAATTTGGATGTTACTACCTACAGTAGTAGCACGAGGTAGACATATATGGGGAGTATTTTGCAGGAGGGACACAAAGCCCTTTTGACCCCATAGATATGATTCAGTCTTCAAACAGCTCTGGGGTCCCCTACGTCAGAGCCAAAGGACACCTCTGTCATAAGACCTGAAAAATCAAGTCACTTTGTGGCAACAACCGGGGGGTGCGAGCCTCGTGGGCAGCCAGGAGGAGATGCTGCAGGCAGGATAGGATGCCCCTGCCCTGTTTGCCTGACATCCCACCTGCTCACAGGAGACCGAGCAAGGGACAACCCACCAAAGTTAATACGGCTTAGTAGAGTCAAAGGAATTTTTCCTGGGTAAAAAAAAAAACAACAACAAAAAAAACCCAAAAACCAGCCCCAAACCAAAATACAGGACTGCACCCTGCATTTCCAACACAGCGGAGCAGATGCAGCCCTGGAGCCTGCTGCTCAACAGCTGTGAAGAGGCTGAACGCTGAGCGACACAAAACCACGACACAACTCTGTCCACACCTTTGGTTTCTGCAAATGGTCCGGCACAGGTAACAAAGGTTGGCAGCAACTCCCAGCCAGCAGTTCTGCGGGGAAGCCACCGCAGGGGTGGCCAGCTCTGCTGAGCTCACCTCGCTCCTCTTTAGCACCAACTATATCAGCGTGCAAGTGATACATTAGCACCTCCGATGAAATATTCCATATCACTGTCCTTTGTACTGGTGAAGCACCGTATAAACACCAGTTCAGCAGTTTTATGGCTATTGCATAACTCACTGAGGTATGATAAAAACATTGAGGAGCGTTACTGAAGGCATCCGCGTTACTGAAAGCACTTGCAGAAACGAGAGCGTGGTATGTTTTAGCAAGACGACTTTTCAAACCATGACAATCAAGGAAGTCCAATACATTACCAACAGGCCTTTTTTTTTTTTATCCCTATAAAGTGCTTTTGAGTCAAATTAATATCTTTTTTTAAAATCTTCTTCAAATGCTTTTATAACAAAATACACAATAAAGGTCGACATTTGTTTGAAGGCCACTCCAAAACTGGCAGGTCTGTGGTTTCCAGCGTGCCAGAAACGTGCCAGGCAGCACTCGCCTTGGAAAAGGGCTCAGCAAAACTGTGCTGAGCACTGGTGCTCCACGCCTGGCAGAAGGTGCTGCTCTAGGCAGGGAGAATTTCAAAGCTGTGGGACCCAAAAGAGCATCCCAGCCCCCTGGTTCAGGGCTGCTCTGCCCTCACAAGAGCATCTCTGTAGCGGACTCCTCCAGCAGCAAAGACACCTCTGCTCCAAACACTATTTTGTTATTAGAAAACTCCCAGGGCTTTAAGCCTTCCACCACCTTGCTGATCTCTTGCTGACTTAACACTATCTAGAGCAGCAGCTGGAGATCAGGCCAGGTGATAACTCTCCAGAACCAGAGATGCATGAGAACAGCTCACGGGTGCCTGTGCACAGTACATTGCACTCGTGTTGTATATACACAGGAACAGAAACAGAGCACGGGTGTGAACGCACACGTGCTTCTACATAGCTGTGTGTGGCGGCTGGTAGGGACACGCACACACATCTATACACACTTGTACAGGGTTGGGAGTTGATGCAATTTGGTACACGTTTTCCCCTGTCATCTCGCTTTTGGCAGAGAACACGCGACTGGTAAATCAGTGGGTGCGCAGTGTGGTATTACCATCAAATATCAGAACAATGTAACTTCAGTGGAACCGTACTGCTTAAATGCCAGGCTTAAATCCACATGCAAAGAACTCCGTCAGAAGCAAGACTCCTAATGCACAGCGCTCGCATGGTGTAATAAAATGGACAAAGGTGGCTACTTAGCAGAAAGTGCCTTTTAAATTAAAGGACTTGAGCTCCCCTAATGTAAGCCCTTCCTGAACAGGTGTTATTCTGAATACATTGTCAATAATCCTCTTTAAGTGCAGTTTTAAGACATGAAGCATTAGCACCTTGGTTCGAAGCAAATTAAATCTGTTGTTACTGGATATCCACAAAACAGTTCACAAAGAGAAAGTTTACGGTCGTACCGAGCTCCAAGGACCAGCGCTCCAGGCAGCATCTCTAGGACAGTCCTGCACATTGCACTGCTCTCTGTCTGGCGGCTTGTCAAGGATTTCACAGCTCAGATCTGTAAACCTTTCTCCATTCGGGCGCTGGCACACCACCAGCCGTGTTCTTGTCCCTGCCCCACATGGCTTCGTGCACTGGAAGTCAGCAGAGGACAGAGCAATCACTGTCTGGGCAGCAAAAACTACTGCTGACCGGTCGCTGGAAGCACTAGCACCTCTCAAGACCTGACCATTGTTTCTGCTTCCAACCAACCCACTCTGGCCAAATCCCCTTAAACGTTGCACGAGCCTCAGACGAGGCATCAGTCGCTTCAGCTTCTCTCTTCCTAAAGCTGTTCGTTTTGCTCCGCAATGATACTGCCAGACCCAACGTGATATTGGAGGTTAATGTCTCTAATTGCTCATCTCAGATGGATTTTCAGGAGGGAGCAGTGTTTTTATTAAGAAAAAAGGCCTTCAGTTAAATTAGACTTCTCTTAAAACGAAAAAAAAAAAAAACCAACAAAAGTCTTGATTTTCATAGAGAAGAAAAAACTTTCCCATGAGAAATGGAAAGGAAAACACGACCAAGCAGTTGCTAGGGTTCGCTCATTTATCAGAGGCTCCCTTTCATGCTCCAATCTTTCTAATAAATGACACCACAATATCCCTCTCCTCTCCCATTTTTCAGCCACCCACTAATGAAAGCCTTCCCCTGCGCAGAGAGCGCAGGATGGATGGCACACTCACCTCTCCCCAGTTGCCATAAGCCCACTGAGGACAGGGGCCAGATTCGCACGATCTCTGCTCCATGGGTTTGCTTTTCTCATCGCAGTTATTCGCGGTGTATCCGTTTTCATCCTGGCACACCACGACCCGCCGCTGGAATCCCCCCGCACACGTGCTAGAGCACTGGAAGACAAAATTGCCCACGGCTCCGTTGAGTCCAGGAAAAATTTTGCATTCCCAGCTCCTTCCTTGCACCGTGGGAATGCACCGCTAAAAAGTTAATACAGCTAACAGGCAGCATTAACTTCAAAACCCAGCTATTACTAATAGCAGTGCAATGACTTAGGTGCTGACTAAGCAAAGAAAATAAACATGAGCCTAGTTTTAAGCAGGTGAGTAATCCCCACTGCCTTCAATGCAGTGCTTAACATCCCATTTGTGCTTAATTCCCTTTAGGGACTTCCGTGATAAAGCGCTGCAAACTGGTCGGGGTGAGAGGAGCTGGCATTAAGGCTCTGCTGTGCTTTGGCAACAGCTCTGCACAGCTGTAAACGTCCCGGGAGACAGCCAAGAAGCAGACGTTGGCCTTTGCCTCATGGAAAATGATGCCGTCAGCTTTCTGCCTGGGAAGCCTCGGAGATACGAGGCATGAGAGGCTGAGAAGTGATGCCTGCACCCTACTGCAACACTTGTTCGTGTGAGCAGAGAGCAGAAAGCGGGGAGAAGGGTCCCTCTTTATCCTGCATGATGACCTTAAGAAAAGCGTGGACTAGTCCAGAGGGAAAAAACAAAAACAAAACACAAAAAAAAACAGCAATAAAAAAATCAGGGCACTTACAGCACCCCAGGGGCCAATCCTCCACTGATTGCCTCCCGGTATATGTGCACGGTTACGGTTCGGGCTGCCTCCGGGGTGCAGTTTCAGGCGATGATCCGGATAGAGGAAAGGATGGATGGGCCTGCCGTAGTCATGGCTGTTTGAATGACAAGGAGACATGGAGCAGTCTTGCTCAGTGGCAGGGAGGTCGTCTGGATCGCACTCACTCCTATCCACCAGCTGGTCACTGTAATTGATGCAGATCACTTGTCGCGTTGCCTTACCTTGACCACAAGTCACCGAGCACTGTGTTACAGTGGGAAAAGGAGATATGGTCATATTTCCAGCTTTGAACACCAGGCAGACAGCTAATGCTAATAAAAAACAGCAGAAAAGCTTAATCTCCTCAGTTATAAAAAGACAAGTGTGACAGGTTAATGAAACACGTTGCCAGCAACGAGGTCTACAAGTCTCTCCTGCAAGAGCCAGCGTGATGCTTACAGAGCTCCACTCCAAGGCCTTCCACTGCCCACACGGCGTCACGGTGCACATTTCCGTGGCTGACGGCTTTGGGAGGTGGAAACAAGCTGACTCGTCGGCCACCGAACCCTGGTCATCCCGACAGCTGACGTATCTCATGCGAGTACCCTTCCCGCACGTTGCAGAGCACTAGGGAAGAGCAAGAAACACTCTACTAGAAAGTTTCTTGATATATATTTACAAGGGCTTTGGAACGAAAAGCTGATCAAATGCACTTAAAAATATCATGTTGTCTACTGTAAAATAATCTTGAAAGTATTAGACACACACTTACCGGTGTCCAGGATCCAAATCTCCACTGCGTCCTATGAACGCCCGATATGGATCTCTTGGCTTCGGGACTATTTGGATGGGGAGGACATGCTGCTGTTTCACAGTCCTGTACATGAAATACACGAGGGAAAAGAGGGAAATAAAGAATTTGCAGATGTTTCAGTTAAACCATCTCCTCTTCAATGTAATTATGGACAACACGTCTTGAAAATCTGCAACCTGCAAGCTTGTGTGTTGGCAGGCTTTCTCCTTGCGTCCTCCTGGTGAATCAGCAAAACTTGGCATTGATATCCCAAGGGCTTCATACACAGAACCCTCAGCAGATTTTTTGACTTATTAGGAGCTCTACAATAGGGATTCCCATAACCGTGTGCCATCTCCATGCATTAAAACCAGATGCTTTTGAGGCAAAAGATGAAAGATCATTAAGAGAGTTTTGGTATGAACACATCTGTGGTGCAGCAACTTTATCTCTCTTCAAAGCTCCCTTCCTTCAGCACACGATCTGCATCACACTTAATAAAGGTTATGCTGCTGGGCTGATTGCAGCCCTTCGATTCCCTGCAGCCCACCAGACCACCTATACCCATGTGTTGATCCTCACCACACACTAAGCACACGAGGTTTTGGGGACAGGCATGTCATTCTGCCCAGCCTTGGTACAGCGCCTAACAGGAGGGCTCTGGTCCTGCCTGGACCTCTTGGGAGGCCTGGTGACAGAAATGATGAATAGCCATGACTTTACTCCGTGAGCTTACGAGCAGTCATTGCCAAAAAGGAAATTAACACTGATCGTCCCTGTGAGGGAGAGTGGCTCTTGACAAACGGCATGGATGGTTTCCGCATTGCTATGATTTTACTTACACTGCAGACGTGCATGCCAAGCGATGGCTGATGACAAGTGGGTTTGTTACCCCTTGACTGTAGTGCATTTGGTCTCCATACATGGGAAAAACAGCCCTTTCCTAATTGCTGTGGCCTTAGTTAAACTCTGTGAAGTCATGCAGGACTGAAGCTGGGCAGGACATTGGCACTACGACTCTCCCAGATGACAGATAGATGGTAATGTTCTGTTTTATTCCACTCCTTCAGACGCCCTGGACACATCCTCTGCTTGAAATGGGAATTTACACATTTGCTTCCAAGTACCAGTGAACACAGCATGGAAAGCCTCTTCAGCAAATCTGCAAAGGCTGTGCAACATTTCTCAATTTATGCAGCCACAGGGAATGTGTCTGGAATTGCAGCTGGTACACACACAATGTTGTCATGTGCAACAGGCAAGAAATGATGGCCCCTGGCCATCGTTTGTACCACACAGAAACAGTCCTGCAGCCCAGCGGGCCCAGATCCCAGCCAGGCACCCCAGACCCCATGCAAAGCCAAAGGAAGTGTCTGCTGTGTTGAGATCTCAGCCTCTGAGGCTAGTAAATACTGTCTCATCTTATCTTTCTGGTCCCCGGTTGTCTTCCCGTGTTCATCTACCGCCTCTTCTTCAGCTCACGAGCTCTTAGAGACCAGCCTTATCTCCGAATCTGGACAGTCTCTCCTATATTCCGTCCTGTGACTAGAGCCCCATAGATATAAACCATAAGCAAAGGTGATCTTTACCCCATGAAATCTTGATGGCCTCATAACAAGTTTTCCGTTGCCTTTTTGGCCATCTGGTGCTTCACCACAGATGTTAACCACACGGAGAGGGTCTGGATGGCAGCTTCCTGAGCACAGGTTCTGTTTCACTTCTACCAACACAGGGTGCTGTGCTGCACCTTTCCAACAGCCACAGAGCAGACCAAGACACTGCTCTGCATGGGCTGACATTCAGAGCAAGCCTTCGTGGCAGTAAGACATCCCCTGAAGCTTCAGCCTGGATGCTTCCATAACCATGCTGGCAAAAGATGGAGACAGGACAGCAGGATTTACCTGGGTATCTGTTGGCCTGGTTGCAGCATTACACTCGTTATCATCCACCACCGACACATAGGTGCCCACGACACACTTCACCGCTCTCATCTGGTAGCCTTGGCCACAAGTCATGGTGCACTGGGAGAGGACAGACAGGAGAAAGAAGTGCCAGGTCTGAGTAGCTGCTTTGGTTAAGGAGTATTAATCAGCCCAGCCTATGTTTAGGCACGTAGCATGAACAGCAAAAATAAAACCCAGCTTCCCTTCTGGTTTCTCTCCACTTCATGCATTTCAGCTTTAAATTAGGTCAAAGTTTTAACTCACTGCACCCACCAGAGCCTCGCACGCTTCACTTGCTTCCTCGGGAACGAAGGCGCAAGCACTTAAATGATTTACTTTGCTGCACAGAGTAAATCATGGTCTGGTAGAACCTGCATCGTATCTTTCTTTAAAACTGGTTGTTCAGCCCCACAGTAGCACAAGCGGCTAATGAATAATTTTGCTGATGGGAAATAAGTCTGACTGGGATGACTGGTCTGGGTTTGTTGCTGTTTTTTTAAGTCAAGAGCTAACAGCTTTGTGGAAAAGGAGATGCCACAACACTCTGGGAGAAATGAGCAACTTGTATTTTAACAGAAAATAATTAAAAAAACCCCTCACCAACCCAGAAACTGGAAAACATTAAAAGCAACAACAGCTATTCAATGGCAGCAGCTTTTCTGTGAAAATTAGGCCACGTATTTACGTTCCTAAATATGGATTTAGGAGCGTAACCTTGGAAACTCTTTTTTTTTCTAAAACCACTGCCAACTTAGCATGACACAGATTAAATTTAGCACAAAGGGCAGGTACTGCTGTTGCTGCCCATCCACTGAACCCAAGTGAAGGGAGGGCTGCTTTGGTGTGCAAATCAATTAACACAGTTACGCCACTGAATTTGGATGAATGGGTAGCACCCAGCCTTGGCCACCGGCACCCACGTCCCACCAGCCAGGAGCCCCGCGGTACCTG